CCTTGTAATTTTCAGCTGGCAGCTGTGATCAAATATATTTTTAACTTAATTATTAATTGTTTGTTCATTTTGTTTTTGTTTCTTTTTTTTATAATCAGCGTAGCTTCGAATAGTTCTCATTGCCTCTTTTTACATAATTTTAAATTACGTTAAAAATATAATTTTTTTTTTTTTTACATATGGTAGATACCGTTATATACATCAAAATAAAAAATAGATGAAATATAGTTGATAAAAAAACAATGAATATTTTAATTGGCTCTTATGAATTTTAGTTAAATAATAGTGGCAGATGCTGGAGCAGATTGTGACATAAATTCGGTACCCGATTCTGCAGCAGTTGCTGGAACATAATCTGAAACAGATTTGGGAAAAGATGCTTGCAATAACGGGCTTACTTAGTGACACATTTTCCTACCTCTGGGTTTCTAGTGTAGCCACGTTTTCCAATTATTGTTTTCCAATTTGTTTTTTATTTTTGAATTGCTTTTTGGCATTCAGCTTCTCGCAGTACAATTTGCACCGATGGACTGAAAGCCTGCCCTTTGGCTCAGACTAATGGGATTACCGATGAGGATCATCAGTGAAGTAGCACACGAGAGAAAGACATTCAAGCGATGCGGATTAGAGCCGACCTTCGCACTGCTGATCGGTGTCTCAGTCCCCTCAAATCTCTCCACGGTGCTCACATCCACGCTCAAAATGTTTGCGTTGTGCCACATATGGCGTAGTGATGCCAATATCCAGCTGCTGGACTTCCCCCACCAATGCCGTCGTGTTTAAGTCCATGTTTAAGTGGTGCGTTGACAAATCAGCAAACCTGTTGCGCCTCCAGTTGATTGTGGCTGCTGAAATAAATAGGAAACTTGCCATTGACCATTTGGCAGCAGTGCCAGCGGTATTATCTCGCCTTTATACTTTATAGTTTCATGTAGCTGATCTTCCATAAAATCAACACAATATTATATCGATAAATACTTTTTGCCTATCGATTGCAGACACATGCTCATTGCTATATGAGTAAACATGCCGTAGCAGTGAGCTTTTGCTTAAAATGGAAGTCAAGAATTACATAAAGTTTAATGACTTGTTTTAGTCCAGAATTTAGTCCTAGATTTGGTGCTGGACTTTAATGGGACGCAATCCGACAAGACGTAATACAGAAGGCAGGAAATACGGCAACGGTTGCCATTGTCGAAATGGTGACGACAGCAAAAACCAGGTAGCATAAAGATTGAAAATTTTTGTTCCAGTTGTTTGTGAAGGAGGTTGGAGGGGCTGTGGTGATGGTACTTCAAAAACGGCAAAAGTACATTTGTTTATGCGACCTGGCAAGACGGTGCGACGGAAGCTGCCTTCTGCTACTGCTACTGCTGCTGCTGCTGCTGCTGCTGCTGCTCCTGTGAGCGTTGAAATGGAACAAATGAACTTAGACGAGAATTGCCAACTGCACACGACTCCAAAAAGGAGCAGCAGTCTAACGTGTGTGTGTGTGTGTTAGTGTGTGTCTGTAAGCAAGCCAAACAAATGATTTTACTCGTTACAAGAAAAGTTAAGCTTGTAAATTCAAATTTCACATTTGTCTGGAAAATTCGCAATTACATTTTGGCAAGTAACAAATGAAATACGAGCCACCTGAATATTAAACACACACACACAAACACACATACAACACACCACACAACTACAACAATGCCCCCGTCCACGTCATGGCTCATTGTTCCGGCGAAGGCGCCGCAAATCGAGCATAACAGAGACAGAGGCAGAGAGAGAGAGACAGAGGCAGAGAGGGAGCGAGAGGGACCCAAGGCAATAGACAAAAATGTTCTGCAGCAAACCACCTAAAGCATATTGTAATAATCCAAATGAAATTAAATGTACCGTAAACATTTCGAATTACGACGGCAGCAATGGATGTAGATAGCTCCCTGGCGCTTCAGCTACGTAACATACGGAAGCGCCTCAAAACCGTTGCAAGCAGAGACAATAAAAATTGGCCGTAATTGCAGCTGCGAGTCGCATTTGGCTGGCTTAGCTTAAAAGCGACAGGAAATCCAAAAATCGTTAGTTGACCTATGCGGTCATGGCAAATACTTTGATTTGTTTTTTGGCGAGTTTGAATAAATGTGGCATTAAGCTGGATCTGTTGAATATTGGCCGGAGATCGAGTTACAAAAGTGCTGACTACAATGTTGATTGAAACTTTTGTACTTTTTGCTGCTCTAAACAATATGTGAACAATTCTAAATTGGGTAGGTCTCATTTTTATGTTAAATAACTGAGAAAATAATAAGGTCAAGCTCCCAAATCTCTTCGCGGTCTCGATTGGAACAACTACATTTTATAGTAGTTGCATTACAAGAAATTTAAGTGCGCCAAAAGCGAATCCATTTTTTATGTATTATTGTAAGAATCCAATTCCAAGAATATTCAAGAGCATGTCAAAAAGTTTTTTACGGCATTCTGCATTCAACTATCCACTTAAAATCCCATTTGAAACCAATAAAAAAAATTAATTCCACGCATGCTCGAAAATAAATCAATATAACAATATTTCAATCAATTTAAAATCGTCCATTCGTCTTGCAGCTATTCAATTGCGCTGTCTTATGGTATAGCACCATTAAATTAGTGCAGAAAATGATCAGGTTCAGGTAAAAGGCAGCAAACGCCAAATGAAATTGCACATTTTACAATTTTACGAGCACTAAACGACTGTATGGAGGATCCACAACAAGTCCACAGAGAATCTGCAGCTTGCTGCCTTGGGGATAGTTTATTTCTAAAACAACTCTATCGCGATCGGTGGGCGATGCAAAAACAGACAAACAAAAAAAAAAAACAGCCCATAAAGAGCAACGATTTATTGTGGCGATCCGCAACAATTTGACAAGCAAATTGCTATAATTTCTTTCTTACCAAATGATCGAAAACTATGGGAGGAATCAGGACTAGGGTGGCGGGGGTGGTAACAGCCGGCCTGGTATTCAAGTTTGTGTTTGTGTCGACATGTAGCCAAGTCTATGTGCAACATTTTCGCGCTTTTATCTGTTGGAAATTTATGTTGGCGATAAAATCGCCAACGACTACCGGCCAAAGCAGAGCTCAGCTTCAAAATGCTGAATGCTGAATGCAGACTGCGGACCCGACAACCCCAGGCAACATCTAATTGCGAGCAAGTCTTGAGAGGATTGTGATCCTCCCGTTAAATTGCAATCATTTCTTTAGCATTACGAGCTGGCAAGTTGCGCCAAAGGGGAAATTTTTCTTGCTTATTAGGTGGCCACAGCTCTATTGCCAACTGTCTGCGAAGTTTAGTCATTGAATATTTTTTAAGAGGCGGCTTAAGTGTTTTGGCATGCGAGGCAAATCTTTTATATACATTGGGATGGGAAGGGGGCTTATTGAATTACTTGTCTTAATGGTTATGGACAATCGAATTGCAGTTATTTGATGCAGCTGGCTGGCATTGGCCACAAATCAAGCACATTTGTAGTTAAAAGCTACTTGTGTGGTCCAAAAACAAATGACACTTAAAATAATGGGTATGCTTACATTTCTTCGTTTTGTATTCACTCAGAGAATAATACACCATTGAACTAAAAATAAATTGCTTACATTAATTGCTTAAATTATTCTTCTTTAGAGTTGGTCCATTGTCTATGACAAATTCCTGATTCTCAGCTTTGGTCATTGTATGTTCTTTGCCTGTTCAATTATCAAACACTTTTTGTAATCATTCCAGAGGAGACTGTAAGTTCTTTTAATATTTTTGGATGCTCTGGTACTTAAGCTCATATTTTAATTTTATAGTGTTGTTACATTTTTTAGTGCTGTGTGCATTAATCGATTCAGTGTATTTGGCAGCTGGCTTTGAGCTCTCTCAACTAGAGGTTTCTTATTTGTGGTTTTTGTTTTTCTGAGTGTGGTCAGCGTTTAGACTTTAAAGCCTAATGATCGACCAAATACGCACTTTAGCCTTAAATCGCATCTGGCCAAAAGAGAAGTTATAAATCAAGCGACACGCATTGCGCCAAAAGGCAATCATCATTAAAATTTCGAAAGCGCATAAAGCGCATAAAACAAAATACAAAAAAAAAAATATGTGTATATATATATATGTATGTACATATGAATAAAAATGATTTCCTTGAGTTGTGCTACTTTTCACATCAAAAGCAAAGATGAAGCCAAGTACAGAATCATTCTTCGGAGCTGTGGTCATAAAAATGACAGCAGCAGGAAACTCTTTGGGACTGAATCAAAAAGGAGAGCCTCATAAAAATTAAAAGAAAAAATCAGCAAATTTTGCTTTTATTGGTTTAAAATACATACAGTTAACTTTGTGCGCAATTTTACGATGCGTCTCGTTGCTTGTTGGGGTGAATTAAAAAGTTCGTGAAGCGCATGAACATGTTTTTTCTCTTCTTTTTTTTTTGTTAAGAGAGAAACTCAATTTTATAGCAATTTTAATATGCCACGTTGGACTAATTGTTGGCCAGCGGATGATGAAGAAGAAGCAGAGGAGAAAAAAATAACACTGTGGGGACTTTTTGATGGCACTTAGAAAGCCGTTAATCCTAATTTTATGTAAATATGTACTATATTTCGGCGGTGTCAATTTAATGCCTCACTTGCGCAACAACGGCAAGTAACGCTCATGTTAATTCCTTGTTGATTTACCAACATTTTGGTATTTGATTACAGATTATAAACCAAATCGCTTAAGTCACAAAATCCCAAAGGTTCAGTTAGTTTCGTACTAATTGGCAATCCGAAAGAATATCATAAATCATTTGAAATGACAACAGAATTGCATTTCTTGCGAAGCTGCAAATTCACAATACAAAATAATAATTATTTATAGTTGCAAGAAATAATCGGAGACGTCATCCGATATGTGATTTAGAAAAAGGTTAAGTCGATAAATGAAATGCGTTTACCAACACTGCTGCAGTTGACGCTTGCCGATAAAAACAATAAGAATACAATTTTGTAAAAGTAAATACAAAAACAATGGCTGGAAACTGTGGAAACACAAAATTGCATATTTTGTCAGTACGTAAATCGATTTTGAGTTAATGCTTCGAATTTATTACTAACTCAAAATATAATCACAGTTGACAATTGAGGAGTGTCTGGGCTGTAAGAGTGCAAATGTGACATTCCGGCCGGTTGACAATGCCCACCTCGTGATCTACACGCTGGAAAAACCGAATGAAACTAATCCGATGTCACCGATAATGGTGACACCCGTTGGCAATGCTCTCAAATTAATGTGCACCATGGATTTTCCAGATGCGGCAAGTCTGCAACGGATGCCGCAGCTAAATATTGGCAGAGGTTGTGTGAAAATGACCTTTAAACTGGAGCGTCTTGATGGCATTTGTGTTGTGAAGGGAGATGCGGACATGACGCCGACCACTTCCAAGCAGGCCGAGGAGCATCAAAGGGCAAGAAAGCAATCGGAGTGCGCACGTCGCCACACTCTGTACGAGGTGAATGTGCAGCGTCGCTTTGACCGGGTTGAGCAACTGAATCGCATCCACTTCCAGACTAACGGGGGCAATTGGCGTGAGCTAACCGTTGAAGAGTTCCATGGCATATTTTTTGTGCAGCCGCCACACAGATATGAACTGCTGCCCACACAAATGCATCAGCGTTATGCCCACGATTGGCTAAAGACCATTCAGGCAGATACCAACAACTATAACATTCTTAGGTGATTGATTAGGAGTTTAAAACTATAGCTTGATGTGGTTTTTCAAATCGGTATTAACACAAATTTCATATGCAGTGAGGATGGCAATCCGTTTGACACGTTTGCCAAGCTCTTCGATCGCCAGGACTCGGAGCAGCACAAGCATTTGGAGAGACTGGCCACCAACTGTTTGTCCGTTAATGAAACGGCTCGTCTCAGTGAAAGGCGTTTCTTGCTCAGCATTTTTAAGCAGACTCGTTCCATTTTCGAGTACATCACTAATTATGAGTATACCGTGTGGTTTTTTGTGCCACGCCACAATCGCTACATGGCCCTCAATAGTTTGGTGAGTGAAGCCAATTAATCAGGTTTAGATGCAATAGTAAATTGAGTTAACTTACAGAGTTTGGATGACTTTGATTTGAGCAATGTGCGCACTTGCATTAAATTGACACGAGATGAGAGCAATCGCTTCTGGCAACGTGCTGATCACAATATCATGGACATATTGCTGGTGTCCATTCAAATGGCACTGGCTCAGACCGCCAAGCAGTCGTTGCTATTCCTTGGCCAGCTCGAAAAAGTGAGTAAATTAGTTAATTAATTAATATATCTACATCGATTTGCATGGCAGCTCAGCGAATTCGTTTGTATGCAATATGTGACGGCCTATTTTATGAACACCATGTACACGGCGGGTAGCTCCAACACACAAAGTTCGACTGTAAGTTTCAGCTAATCTCCAACTGCCTCAATCAGCATTCTAATTTTTGGTATTTACTGTCTGTAGCCCAAATGGGTTTGCAGTCGTTACTTGAATCGCATCATTCAGATGGCCGAGTCAATGGACCTGATTGTCGTCATAGAGTATCCGTGTACTTTAACCCTGATGCCAAATAATCATCGGCATGTGAAATGCAAACAGCAGCTGGATAAGAAAACTGGCGCCATTTCTTGGCATTTGTCCATGGATGTGACCAAAACCGTTGACAATGGCATAAAGCTCCTCTCGGATGCCATGAATTCCAATTAAGTCGAGGCAACACTTCGCATAAAACTCAGTCTTAAGTTTTGAAATTAATCTGCTGTTAATTGTTGGATAAATTGGCAGCAATAGCTTATTTCAAGTTTATTCTTTTACATTACATATTATTATTGTTTTATAAAACTTTGAACTATATTTTTCGTTTCACTTCAGTTGCTTAGCTTAAAATTATAATTTTAAACTTAATCTATTATTTGAAATATTATATTTAGCTTTTAATATACATACTTTGAAGACTTCATTTATGACTCACTTTAATTGTAATTTGTACAATATTCCAATTCAACTTTATATTTTTAAGCTGTAGTAGAAAAAATGCAAAATATATTTAGAGCTTGTGTTAAACATGCTTTTTTTTGCAAGTATCAATCACTTGTATTATTTCTATGCTATTTTACGACTTCCTGAACCCGGAATGCCGCTGGTATCATTCTTCAGCTGCATTTCAATTTCGGTTTGCCGTCTGTCAGCTCAGCTTCTGTTGCAAACAGATCCAAAATATGGCTGGCGACCGACCACAAAGCCAAGAGGAGAAACAGCAACAGCAATGCTTGTCAGTCAGTCAGTGGCACGCGTCATTTGCCGGCGAATTGCATTTTGCGCAAACCGAGAAAGCATTTTTTGGAAATTCCCTGCCTCGCCCAGGCTGCTGACACAGTTTAGAGCCAGCAGTAGGATAAGAGCTAAAGGATGTGGCTGACAGTATATGTTTTCCGCATCCGTATCCGTAACCCAACACGCTGCTCAACTCGACTGACTCGTCTTCCTAACTGACTGACAGACTATTCTGACTGACTGACTGACTGGGCTGCTTGACTGATTGTTGGTTGTTTAGGTAACTTTTAGTAGCGCATTTGCTGTACGTGGCAATCCATTTGAAATGCTGCCGTAGATGAGTTTTCTTTTTTATGCCCATATATATAGGGGTCTTATAATATTGTGGTGAACCCATAGGGAATATATACTCTTGATCAACTGTCGATGCAGCCCTTTGTCTGTCTGTTACTATGCAGTCCCCATCAGTGTTGAAATTATCTTTATGAAACTTGGCGTATATTATTATTATTATTATTATGTTATCATGCTCCCACATGGCAACATGTCTGACTTCGGTCTGCAAGGGTATTCAGTCTTTGGTATGTCCAAGAAAGCACGTCACACTTCTAGCTGGGAAATTCCTCAGTCAGAAGCATTTGTACTTCATCACTCATACGCAGCGCGGCCAGCAAATTAACTTTACTCCAAGCGTAGACAACTCAGTTTAACAAAAGTAACCTTCTAAATTCAACAGAAAATACAAATTAAGTGAAACAATTTTATTATCAAATAACTGCACACATATAATAAATAATCAATAAATTTATCGCACATATTTAATAATCTGACACGAATTTTCCATTAATTTGTTATTTATATTTAAACAAAAATAAATAAAATAACATAGTCTTATGGTGTTTATTAAGTATACTTAAGTGTACATATATTTGCTGTTTAATTATATTTGTAATAAACACAAAAACCATTTTACAAACAAATAAATTCCATAAATGCAAACTTTTAATACAATTTAAATAATCATTCTGCGAATAAATCGAAATAATTAATTTTTTTTAGTCAATCAACGCTTCATTTGTGTAACTCGCTTTGTCATAGCACATTTTTGTAATCTGATGAGGAAAAATTGTTTATTAACTTGTGCAAAAGTATGTAGCAGGCAGATGGAATCCATAAAGATATGTATATGGTATATATATGCTTTCGATTAGCCATGTCCGTCCATATGAATAAGCCCATCTATCTTTTATTTAATTTGATCGATAATTTTAGCCGTTCCGGGAATTTCGATTTTGTTTACCAAACTACAATCAGCAAGCTTAGTTTGTGTTTAAAATTTGTGTTCAGAGCATCTATTAGACGAGCACTCTCGAACATTCTAACTGTTATTTTTTCTCGTTTTTTGTTGCCAATCTATCTACGGCTTTTAATAGAGTAATTAGTTTTATGCCGCTTCTGGGCATTCCGTTTTGTAATTTATTGGTGAGATTTGTGGCCTCGGGGTCAGGTTGCAGGTGCAGCCCAGCTGCAATTTCATCGGTAGACAAGCCAGACAGGTTTCACTGTACTGTACACACGCTTCTGCATTGCGTGCCACTTTTCGCACTTCATACAATGTGATGAGATTGAAGGACTGCTGTTGCAGCACTCAACGAAATGAGAGCCAACCAACTTCCACCCCTCTTTCCCAATCCTTTCCCATACCCTGCTCCTCAGCTGACAATTTGAATAATTGCGAAATGGCAAACAAAATAATCCTCAGATTTTGGCTCTTATTTGACGGCATTGCGCATATGTGATGCTACATTTTCTGCTTCGGCAATCGGAAAATAAACACGAGAAAATAAAAATAAATACTCTCAGTAGCAGAGATTGAAATGAAAAACCATTTCCCTCCTTTGTTTGCCCGGAAACAGCTACAAGTCTTGAGCATATTCATTTGACATGTGTATGAGTCATAAGAGTTCCAAATCTAAACTGCCTTATTAACATGCGAAATGTACACAGTTAACAGCCAAATGTCAATTTAAGCTTTAGCTTAATCATTCAAGCTGATTACCCTCATCCGGGCATAAAAAGAAAACCAAAAAAACAGACAGAAGCAGGCATGAATCGTAATATATAAGCACCGAATCAGCATCAAGGAAAAATGATCTCTCTGCTCTGTGCTGCATAACTACAGTGAGAAGGCCCTAGTCGAGAGGGCTGGACTAGGAAATACCCTGTAACCAAGTGTGTTTTCGATAACAAAGACATTTTATTGCTATCGGAAATCGATCAATAAAATGATGTTGCGCATTGTGTACCGATTAGATCGACTCGACTCTTAATGATGATCAAGATGATTCCTTCCCGCCTGTTAGCGTCTATTACACAAGTTGATCATAACCCATTTAAACTTTTCAAGGAACTAAGGGTATTAAAAAAAGGTCAAGCCGTCTTTTGGGCATAATTAAAAATTAATAAGCGGCTGCTGCTGTTGCTGTTGCCTGCCTTTTGGAGTATCCGTTTCTGATGTTCGGAAGCAGCTGCTCAACGCAACGAAGCGTACTGGAATCGCAATCTGTAATTATGTAAGGGCGATTTCATGATGCGACTCCAACAACAAGAACAACAACAGCATGAAATATAACAAGTGCATGGCTACGACGATATTTTGGCCTTTTTGTTGACCCGAGCACCCAAAATCCTTAAACAGCTGGGCTAAAAGCGCAAATGAGCATTAAAAACTCGTTTCAACTAAATATTTAAACAGCTTATTATGCTGGCACGTACACACACACACACAAACACACACACATACACATATGTGTGGGGTGTTCTTTTTTTGGTGGAGGGGCGTGGCAGACGCTAAAAGCCGAGCCTGGTTATAACAAACTGACCGCGGCCCTCTCGCCAACAAGTGGCACGTGCACTGCACCAAAGGAAATTTAAATTTGAATTAATTATGATGCTGGACGGTGTTCAGAGTCCTAGCACTGCCACTGGTCCTGGTGCTGGCTTTGGTCCTGTGCCGTACCTATCGCCGCTGCCTGCAATTAGTAGTTGGCAGTTGCAGCGCTGCGGGTCTCTGGGTGTTAAATTTGCCAAACAACAAATAATAGCACTTAACGGCCAACTGCAACCTAACTGATAAAGAGTTTGGATACGGTATATGCAGAGATGTGTGGCAAATATAAATGTGTGCTGGCCCTTGGCGAATCAATTGCCTAAGCAATTTAGAAAAAGAATCTCTGGCAGACTTTCATTCGCGAATTGAACACTCTTTACTTAGGCAATACTCGATCCCCAAAAACTAATCGAAAACAAACAGTTTGGAAACCCTCGTCAATTTCAATCGAAACCACCAACAGTTTGTCCGACAAAATGTGAATGGCAAACGCTGTTGAATAAACAAATTGAAACAGTTCAGTTGCCCAATGGGTCAAAGAACTACTCTTCGGGCATAGAAATCGTGGACAAGGTCATTAGCATTTCATCGAAAACTGACCGCACTCTGACTGTAGCTCTGATAAGGAAGGGGGTGGGGGGACTGACAATGGCAATGGGTGGCGGCTTACAACAGCAACGCAGTTAAATCAAGCATTCAAGTGTCATTAATTAGTCAGCAAACATGGCCATCAAGCGACAGACGCTTTGGTGGTCACTCAAACAACAACAACAACAACAAGTCTGACTTTCCCACCCCTTCCCCACGCTTTTCCGCATCATTTGGACTTAAAAAAGAAGAAGAAAACTCTCCCTTAGCCTGGCTACACTCGCGTTTAATTACAAAATAATCCAGTGTGAACGGTGTGCCGAAAGAAAATCGATTTCGCGATTGGCGATTGAAATTGGCGGCTCTCATCTACGCTTTACACATCACAACACCACCACCCCTCTCCCGTCAACCCGTCATCCCGTTGACGTTGCTAACCCAATTAAACTGTCGGCGAAAAAAAAGAAGAATTACCCCCTCTGGCAGCCCGCTTCAGCTCTTCGATATTGGGTAACTGTTGCCTTGCCTAGCCTGGCCTGGCCTGTCCTGGCCTGGCCTGGCCTGGTTTGGCACTTTGCCCAAGCCGCAGAAGCAAAAGCGCAAAAGCAATACCAAAATCAAAAGCCTGGCAAACGCATCACTTCGCGGTCTTCAATAGCAATTTGGGTAAATTCCTTTTTAATTTCAACGGCAGCCACATTTCAGCTCTATTGTCCTTCTCCTCCTCCTCCTCCTCATGCTCCATTAGCCGATCGCCTAGGGATAACAGCATGAATCATCGTTCTCTATGAGTACTCTAACAATATACTGCATGAGTATTATACCAATCTATATATATGTTTTTCGTATCTGCGTAAATTTTATTCTACGAACTACTGTTGATGATTATATAAAAAAAACCTGTATTATATATTTCATATTTATTTTGAAAAAATAGCTATTATTATAACAACTTCCCAATTCCAAGAAAAATGTGGCAAAATATTTCTCGTGAATAGACAAATGACCCAAATGTTATTAAAACCTTGAACTTGATATTCAGCAAGTGATAAGAATTTATTTACTTATATTTTTTGTGCCAGGCAATAATAAGAAACAAGAGTGATCAACTACAAGTTACCCTCCATGTTTTTAAGCTTATACATTAAATAAGCGTATGTTATTCAAAAATATATTTGCTTATATATTCGCAATAAACTTGCTCTGAGATGGTTGACTCAATTAAGAGCCAGTGTAAGTGATAAGACGCAAAAGCTGAATCAGAAAGCGTGCGAATGATTATCGCTAAGAAATACATATATTCATGAAAAATAGAAACAGACATATAAACATACAGTGTACGGGATCGAAGCTGCTTCCCTCTGCTCGTCACATAGCTTTGCATATGGATTCAGGCTATATAAAATAAACATATGCATTTTGGCATCCGCTTGTCTTTGATTTGATTTTGTTGTATTGGGCGAGATGTGGCACCAAAAATTGAATTGAATGTCAGTTTTAGTTGACGCCTGGATAAGGGATTGCATTTCTGTCAGACGCGTTGTGCAAAACAATTTTCAATGCCATAAATATGCAAATTTCATTAGTTTGTCGAGCACACACATAAACAAACACACACTGTATGGACCAGCTGTGCCAGACATAATCACAAAGAATGTCTTGAAGCGTTTTCTGCCTTTTAGCCATATTTTTCCACTTTATTTTTTGTCTAGCTGAAAATCAGATTTGCGTAAATTTAAAAACTGGAGGGAGTTAGCATCTTGTCTGTGTGACTGTCTGGCAACAGCAGCACCACCACCAAAAAACAAAAGTATCTTTTGTTAATTGTCGTGTGGAAAATGCGTCTAGAAAGATGTGCCCCAAATTCAGCATGAAAGTTGTTGTCGCAGTCGCAGGCGGTTAATTGCCTTAGCTGCCACGCCCACCCAATCCTCATATTTGATGTGCAAACATACAGAGCCCCTTTGCGAATATTCAACACACATATATCCATTTTTTATTGCCATTTTTTTAGCACATTTTCTTTGTTCTTCTACGTGTTGACTTTTCGTCAGCGGCTTTTTCGGCATTTGTCTTTTTCTCATCGTCGTGTTTATCTTCGTATAAAAGTTTTACCCATGCACTGTGCATTTTCTTTTGTGCTTATGCAATTATGCTCGGAAAATTGTAATTCGTTCCGTTCTTCGCCCTAAAACGCTTTTGTTATTGTTTATCTTGTAAAATTGTGTACACAATTGGAAAATTGCGTTTTGCCTCTGTCTGACTGGCTGTTAGTCTGTTTGTTCTCCTGTTTATTTGTTTGCACAACATTTTTAATTAGTTTCGCATTTTTTTTTATATTTTTTACTCATGCTCATATAAATCGATGGCGCATAATTGATTTGAGACAAATGCAAACAGAAATTAAAAAAACGGTATACATATATATAATTATTTGGATTCAATTTTTTGAATGATTTACCAAAGCTGCGCATTCAATTAGAATTTACTTATCACGCTTCGCAAATCAGACAATAAATATTTATTTAACTAAATAAGCCTATAAGCTATCGAGAGCTACTTATGTACGATTATCTAATTATAGAATTTATTACTCTTGAGCAGCATAAGAGATCCAATTTATAAAACATTCATGTATATTTAACACACTTTACTATATGTTAGTAAGCATACATATTTATAAAGCATTTGTGTACAAACTTGTAAAAGGCAGGTAAAATATAAGGGAATATATCCTAAATTACCTCTTTGTAGTCATATATACGTAGTGATTAAGATAAGTGCAAGTTAAGTAAAACGGTGCGCAGAAAGTTTGGGTTTTTTTTAAGGAATTCACCTTGTTCTATGTGTGGTATTAAATGTCCTTTCCTACCTCCCTCCATTCCTCCTCAGTCGCCAAATCTCTGAGCTTCAATGTGCTCTTTTTCGTTTCATTCAGTAAATTGAAATTATGCATTGCTACAAAACGAACCAAAAAAACCACATACAGACAATTCCCCGGCCAATAAGCGAACATTTGATTCGTCTGAACAAAGTTTCAATGAAACGAACAGCAATTGTATCTGGCAGTAAGCAAAAACAAAAAAGGAGCTGAGAATTGCGCTCTGGCAACAAAAACGAAAAAAAAAAAACCGCTGGGGATGCGAAAGCGTGCAAATATTTTAACTAAAATGAGCCAGCGAGTTACTTTTATCTGTTGCGAAATAAGAATGGGTATTTTGTACGCCCAATCATGCCACGCCCAACAATCTTTGCCCTTGTATGCTGCATGGCAGCAAATATTTGCCGCTGTTTCCAGTCAACATAATTTTACTACTTTTATGGGCAGAGTAATGCCCGACAGGGAACGACTTTATCCTGCTTCCTCCACCCCCGCCCTCCTCCTTCCCCTATCGTGTCTTATACCCCCGAACCTCATATTCCTATACTGTCTGACTTTTTCACGTGCAAGTCTACAATTTCCACATTTCCTTTCATCTCACGCGTCTCGCGTATGCAATATACTGAATGTGTATTGTAAACTGCCAGGACTCACCCATAATTTCAGCCCCACTCGCACACGCCCCTCTCGCGCCCATCGTCGTGCTGCGCCTGTCTGAGTTTATTGGGCTCGCAGCATACTTTGAAATTTACTGAGCTTCACTTGTAATGCTTCGCTATATTGAAATTAATTACAAACAAAGGATGCTGCTGCGAGCATGTGTACATCTCTCTCTCTCTCTCTATTTCTCACCCCCACTCTCTCTCTCTCAAATTCCCTGTCTATATCTATGTCTATGTGTTGTTCAGCTTCCCGAATTAATGTTTCGCCTTTGGCAACGTTCGGATTCTAATTTCTGATGTTGCTTAAAAAAAATATACATCAAATAAAGTTCAAATACACATATTCATATGTGTATGGCAGAAGGTCTGTTGAGCACTTTAATTGAAATTGCATAAATTACAGCTAATTTATTCAATTCAGTTTTCGCAAAGCTTTCTCAACTCATTTTAATTGCATTATTCAATTTACCAATTGTCGGTAATGGTTTCATATTCATACAATAAAACAAGTAACACTGCTGTAATAAAACAAGGGTATTTTTTATCAGAGCTTACCAAAATTTGAACAGTTTGTCGTTTGCTGATATTTGTGAAACGCAGACAGTAATCGATCAAATGATCTGCGTGGGGTATCCTATATATCTTAGACAATGATATCTTCTTTTTAAGATTTGGCCTAGTAGAAAAGTCGTTACTTGTTCGCACCCATGAAGACAATCGGCTCCATATTCTACTCGAGAACATGTTGCAACAAAGGCGAGTTAAGTATTGAAGTGCCCTCGCTGCTCAACACACTAGGCCTGCAAAACCCGAAGAGAAGCTGATATGTGCGATATGTGTAGCCAATCGAGCAGATTTTCCATGCACTCCGATTTTAGTCCATTTGACGACTCTATATGTTGTCTAGAATAAACTGTTTAGCTGCCTATAAGTCAGCAGTTAGCGGCTCGGGTTCTTCAGTCTTGTGTGATCTGTGACAATATCAACAAGTTATATAGATATTATTTAATGCAAAAATGTTATATAAAAAGATTTGCACTTTATTCTTAGTCCATGTATTTGTGCTAAATTGTGCTAATGTGAAAAATGTGATATCCAGTCAGCAATCACAGCTCGACGAGATTAGGTTTCCCTAAGAATTTTGATTTGTTTTCATTTTTATATTTGAATCAATTTATTTGCAGAGCACAACTGAGTCTTCAGACCCAACTGCAAGCCGAGATGATAAATAATCTATATGAGTTGAATAGACAATTGGCTTTGTTGCCAACCTTGGTGTCTACTCCCAGCAACTGTGAGACGGCGGCTTTGGGTACTCGTAGTGGCATTCATCAGATCCTCGTTCCCGGTTACAGTCGGCACTGGTTTGACGTTAGTTGTGACGAGGACACACAGGGCGGGGGCTGGACAACGGTGTTGAATCGTCAAGATGGCACTGTGGACTTCTATCTCTTCTGGAATGACTACAAAAACGGCTTTGGCAATTTAAATGGGGAGTTCTTCATAGGACTCGAGATACTACATTTCATGACCAAAGCTGGGGATCAAGAATTACTCATAATCATGGAGAATGATAAAGCAGAAAAAAGGTTTGCAAAGTACGATCGATTTATAATCGGAGGTGAAAAGGAAGCGTACAAGCTGATCAAGTTGGGCAAATACTCCGGAAATGCAGGCGATTCCTTGCAAAGTCATGTGGGTCAAAAGTTCACCACACGGGATTATGACAACGATAAATATAAAGGCAACTGTGCTCAAAACTATACGGGCGCATGGTGGTACAACAATTGCCTTGACAGGTACTAATTACAATCAGTTTTTATTAGTGAGCAGTTGTATATAAATATACGCCTAAATTTGACAGCAATCTGATGGGAAGATATAATGATAACAATTATGGCAAAGGCATTATTTGGTACTCCTTTACGGGAAACAGAACCTCACTAAAACGGGCCCAGATGATGATAAGGCCGAGAAGGGATGGATCAAGTAGCTGAATACCTTTGAGTATATATTTTTGTTTTGGTTAATCTACACAAAGAGAAAGTACATTTCAATCAATAATATATTCTCGATTCCAGTATCAAAAGCTAACATTTTTTTAAGTTTTCCGTGATAAGATATGCATTAGAATGGCAACAGTTTTATCTGCTCATTGGAACTCACATTCTTATAAACTCAAAAATGGGCAAACATGGGTTCAAGGTACAATCAAATTTGTAAATTCGCAAGATAAAGTAAATAGTCATTTTTGAATTAAATTCAATAGTTATAATACTCCATCTAAAATGTGTATTCGACTCAGACGCACTCATATATGGATGGGTGTCTATGGATATACATATATATATATGTAAAATACAGTATAGTTCATAATGAGCTTGCATGCGATTAATTTACCGCATGAGCGGATGATTCTTGGCGGCGAGCAGAGAGCCAACATCGTTTGGGAGGTAGTTCATAAATCATATGGCTTTGTCATTGCCAGCTAATCTTCGTTGCGTATTAGGAGGTGGCAATCGTGCATTCGCCTACTTAATATTTCCGCTAATACTGCGATGCCCGCGCTCTCCCATCTCCTACAGAGCACTCTACTTGGTCGTTTCGTATCGCAAGACTGACGTCAGATGTCACTAATCTAAATTTATGCAAATTGCCAACTGTCTGACGGGAGCTGGTTTAGAGAGGCGAGGCGAGGCGAGGCGAGTCTGAGTTTCGCAGAGGGAGGCTGAGTTTCTGTGCAACAGTTGTAAAAATTGCAGCTAAATTCAAATTTGACATGCGCCAGGCGGAGTCGCTCTTATAAGTTGCAGTTGCAATTGCAACCAAGACTCGAGTGCGTTTTTTCTCTGCATATCCCCTACACAATGAATAGCACCACAAGGGGTATCTCCAACAGGCAACAAATCGAGTGCCTTACATCTTACAGCTAAAGTTAAAATTCATTGAAAGTTGATTCTGTCTACTGGGTATCTGGCAGTCGTTCAGTCTCTGGTAAGTTTTCAGTTCGAATGCATTTCTCCTCTGCTACAGTCGCCCGTTGCCCGTTGCCAGTTGCGTTGGCAAAGCTCTTATTAAATTAAAACGAAGGCGTTTAAGTGCGCCCCGAAGCAAAGCAAAGCCAAGCAATGCAGCAGCTCAGATCTGATATGCAAAACATTTTTGAAATAACTCAGCCGTAAATAGCGTATAGCTTGTGGCCAGAATTTCCAACTCAGAATTCGTTCTCCTGCATCAGTCTAAGCCAAATTAATTGAAAAACCTGCACGCATCGCCGGCTAACGTTCAGACTCCCAGTTCAGATTCGGATTCGCACATGATTAGTTGGCCAAAAAAAAAAAAATTTTAAAAGCAAAACACAAGAGTGCTTGACTGCAAGTTACCCTGTACAAAACTTGGATTTTTCTACTTGTTGACTGCCCAAGTCAGGCAGTACATATTTTCTACATCTGCCAGCACATATTCTGTACCCTGCAAAAAACCAACTAAAACAACAAAGTTGTTCAGCCAATATCAGCTTTTTTTGGCCTGCTAGCTTTCAGTTTTCATTATCGCGCTTGACACGCGATGAACGCCACGCTTGGCCCCCATTTACAAGTCGGCGCCTTTTGTAAACGCTGCGCTTGCCTCTCCGTTCTCCTTCTTCCTCTTCTTGGTTTCGTTGCATGCCGCACACTTATGCAAAAGTAACAAAGTGTGAAATTTCAGTTCGCATTGCCCACACACGTTTCTCTGGCTACAAGCGAAGACTTGGCCAGCTGGCAAAGCTTATAAGCCGGGCCCCAAACCGATATAAGCATGAACATTGGCAGCAGCTGTTGCGCGAATAGCTGCAAGTTTTTTTTTCTTTTTTTTTAGTTGTTGTGTGCACTACAAGAAAAAAGGGCTGTTGTATATTAAAATATAAATTGGATATAAATGCTTACCAATCAGAAGGCAGACAAGAGCTTAATTCTTATTAAGACTTCAACTTTAATAGGAATGCGTGCTGTGATTCTTTTCGTAGTTTTCCTTTTCGCCGCCGATTGCAAAACTATCATCATTGCAAAGTCCTCCAGGGTTATTATTTATAGGGATATTAATTATATATAAACATTATGGATACCGGAAATGATTCTGTCCACCTGTTTTAGAACCTTTTTGACCATTTGTAATATGTTTGGGGCATGCAAAACGCCATGAAAATCGGAAAAACATTTCTTACAAAAAATATAGCTTAGATATTCGTAGTGCATTGCTGGTAAATTAGGAGAGAAGTAAACAATTCAATGTGTTTTATTTCACATCCGTTCCTCCGCTCGCACACTCTTTCTCCCTCTCTCTCTCTCTCTCTCTCTCTCTCTCTCCATTTCTCTGTATCACCCACTACAAATTTTTCCGTTTGCTTACAGTTTTGATCCCCCCACAAAGATATTACAACTCAACCTATAATTTATTCAGCTAAATCCTTTCGCCAGGCCACTTTCAGTCTAAGAAAAGAGTAAGTAGCGAAAATAAATTAAATGGATATCATTTGTCTTGCTCAACAAAATATTAGTGGAGTGAGAGAGACAGATAGAGACAATGAGGCGGGGGTTTCGAAACGGACTTGACAGCTAGTCACAACAACAAGAACAACAACAACAAGTGGCAGCAGTTGAGCAAAAAAAATTTGCATAAGGAAATAATATTCATTCCGTGTCGTGCTTAAGCGCCAAGAAGAATCTGCATTCAGCCAAAAGGATGTCAAATTCGTTGTCCTTGGCGAATGGCGAGCGAATAAAGAGAATTTCATAGCGATATGCGACATGGCACTTAAGGCCAAACCGTTGAAGTGGCAAGAAGTGTTTTACATTTAAAGACGCAGGAAACTATGCAATACATTCTAAAATTACCAAAAAATCGTTCAAATATTCACATCATAAAATTATTTAAAAGAACTGGACTCAAGCATCACACAATCTATCAACTATGCAGACAACCTCAAGCAACAAACACACATTATCTTTTAGCCACAAACAACAAACAATAAAACAGACATAAATAAACGCTTTAAAATCAAGCTCTATCAATCAAATTGTCATGTGGAGAGTTGAGCCATATATCTATACATATATAACCAATTAAGACCAAACCAAAATAGTTTGACTCAGACAACAGTCCGAAATAAAAAATGCAAAACAGCCCTAAACAATTTTTTAAATATATAAAATCAAAGACACAACAAAATTAAATCACTCAAAGCATATCATATTTTCCACATCAATTAAATTCACTATGAAAATACTCGCACTAAAATATATTATTTCTATATTTAGGAGATATCCTGCATCTAGCTGTTCAACATATTGAAACGATTCAAAAAACAGCTCAAGTTTAAGCAATTTATTAGCAGTTAGCAAGTGTGCTCAGTTATTATAAAGGCTGAATCAGAAATCCGAAACTAGAACTAATAATGAAAGAGACAGGAAAGTGAAATCGACTCTTTTCAAGTGCTCTTGTCAAATAAATTGAAATATTATTTGTATTTAAATGTGTTCGCCAAATTTAATATTAATCAATAAAATACCCCAATATATACATGCATATATACATATGTATATATATAGATGTGTGTCCAACAGCATTTGCATTTAACATGCCAATTTCGATAGGCACGCCTTCTTGGGTGCCCCGCCACACCCACACCTACACCCACACACACACACACACACACACACACATAAGCGACAACAAGGGCATGTACATGGAGCGGTCGAAACTACGACTAGTATCTGAAAATCTGCGCTAACCAGGCAAAAGGTCGATTAACAAGATTAAAAGCGCCATTAAATGCTTTGATTTGGCTACAAGTTAAGACCACGCAACCGCAGATACGCAAATGCTCTTGTTATTGTTGTTGTTGGTGTAGTTATTAGTGTGAGTGGAGTGGGTTGGGTGAGTGTAGTGGGAAGGGGTGCCGTAGTGTGAATACAGCAACAGCAACGTATAAAGTTCTTTGGGTCTACTTAAGGGAACACATGTTTTGCGGCAAACGAAATTCAGAATTTGGCTAACATGTGAATTCTGGATGTATCTTGTATCTGCACAGCTGGGTTTAAAGCCAACATATGTTGAATTCCTGGCTAAGAAGTAAATTACATTGAATTGCTGCTAAGTCGAAGTGAGCCTGGCGAATATACATACATATACACACACTTGCCGAAAAATTCCAAAACTCTAAGATGTCGAAAATGAAGTATTTTCTCAAGTTCTGAAGCTAAGAACCAAAATTCTATTTCGTATATATTCATATATATAGCCGTCATTATATTCAAAGATATTATCAGTAGTGTAGTAGTTACTCCAACTCGCACACAACTTTGAAATTCATGAAAACTGATTCGATTTCACCCAGATCAACTAATTGTATTTCCACTGCTCCACTGCTCTCTATATAATTAGAATGCGATGCTAAGATCTACTCTATGATTTTCGACAATCATTCCGTATTCATTATTTCGCTGAGTGTATACACTGAGACACATACGCTGCTACAGAAATGTATCTGTGGCTGCGGCTGATTTGCGTGCCTTGCGCATCCCCGCACGTCCTCCTCGCTCAACATGTTCTCGCTTGATTGATTTGGGTTGGGTTAAGCGCCACAGGCAAAAGCGTTAACGAAACCTGCATACACAACACACATACATACATATACACACACACACACACAAACACACACACACACACAAACACATACACACACACACACACTTAATCCCAATTTGCAAGCGTACAAATCAGTTAGAGTTACTTTTCCTTGGCCGGGCATAACTAAATTATATATATTATATATAATACATTCGTATGGGAAAGAAGCAGAAGTTGTCCAGAAACAAAAGTTTGGCATAAGACGTAAGAAATCTTAAGTTGCTTGATGCATGAAAATTGCCATATAAATGACGGTGGCTTAAAGATTTTTGCACCCTACTTTTAAGTGAACAGTGCCTTCAAGTCTAATTGAATCCATATGGATGCCAAGCAATGATACCCCCTTTTTTTTATTTGCAAACTGTGGTCACAAAAGTTGCTCAACAGTTAAGCCACCTCATTGTGCAAAACATTCCATTGCGGGTCCATAAACAATAAAATTCAAAATCGAATGCCAGACAATGATTGAGTGTTGCAGCTATCTTCAGACACATTCAAGGGTCTCCGCTATCCTCATGTAATGTTGCTCATATTTTCGGCCACATGCATAACCCTTTAGGACCTAGTAGAAAAAATCGTTACCTGTTTGCACCTATGAGCGAATCGGGTCTCTATTCTACTCGTGAACATGTCGCGGCGAAGGCAAGTTAAATAAAGAACTATGTTTGCTACTCGACACGCCATGCCTGACAAATTTGACAAATTTTCACCCGTAGTGCAGCGGGCCGATATGTGTAGCCAATCGATGAGATATTTCATGCAGTCACATTTGAATAGATTTGACGCCTTTATATGTTGCCTAGAAATAAGCTGTATAGTTGCCTATAAATTCAGCTGTTAGCGACTCGGTTTCTTCAGTTTTTTGCGATCTGTGCCAATATCCAACAGTTATATATATATTTAATGCAAAAACGTTATAACAAATATTTGCACTATATTCTTATCATATACGAGGTGTGTTCAAAAAGTATCGCGAATTTTGAATTTTCGCGGGTTACGTACTCGTATTCTTGTTCTGAAATCTGAATATGTTCAAATGGAGGGAATTGTGGGAAACTATACCTTTAAATATGAGCCAATAAGCAAAATACTTTTCCAAACCGAGGAGCTCTCCGACAAATCTATAAACTTGTAAGCATTTGAAATTTTATTTGATTTCAGTTATATATTTGAAACAATTTATTCGCAGGGCACAACCGACTTGTCAGAACCAATTGCAAGACAAGATTACAATGATGGTGGGTAGACTTAAAGAGTTGAACGAGATTTTAAATAAGGTGCCAGGGTTGGAGAGCTCTCAGAAGACAATCAGAACAGAACAGATTCGTCAGAGCGAATTGCTGACTGAGATTCTTGCGAAAGTCAATAAGCTGGACGCCAAAAAGGGGGTCAAATTGTTATCCGGTTGGAAAGAAAAGTTGCCCAGCAGCTGTACGGATCTACAGTCGAGAACCGTTTTATGTTAATTGCGACCAAGATACACTGGGCGGAGGTTGGACAATTGTGTTGACTCGTATGGATGGCAGCGTGGATTTCTATCTCTTCTGGGATGATTTCAAAAAAGGTTTTGGTAATTTGGATGGCGAGTTCTTCATTGGTCTCGACAAACTACATTTCATGACCAGAGATGGTGATAATGAATTAATCATAGCCATGGAGGACTTTGAAGGAAACCGTAGGAATGCTTATTATGATCGATTTTCAATCGGAAGCGAAGAGGAAGCGTACAAACTGAGAACGTTGGGCGAGTACTACGGCGATGCAGGCGATTCCTTGGTAAGACATTTGGGAGAAAAGTTCAGCACGCGAGATCGGAACAACGCACAATGGGATGGTGGCAACTGTGCAAAAGAGCGCCAGGGCGCCTGGTGGTACTTCAATTATTGCCATGATAGGTACTATAAATTTACAGTTTTTATTAATGAGCAATTGTATTTTAATCTGTGCTTATATTTGGCAGCAATCTGATGGGAAGATATAATGACAACACCCGTGGCAAAGGCATTAATTGGTATGAATTTACGGGTTACGAGACAACATTAAAACGTGTCGAGATGAAGATACGGTGGAAACGGGTATCCCGAATCGTCATTCATTCTTAATTCAAGTACAAAATGTATCAAAATGATTTATTAAAAAAGTTGGTACTTTTGGCGATAATTTATTTGAAAACGGTTGACTGTTGGCCCAAATCTGGCCACGCCTACTGTAATTATTGTATTTGTACAGTTTTCTGATTGTTCTCTGACTAAAAAACACACCAATCGTATAGTCATAATTACTGCATTTCTCTATTTTAAATCATATTATAAATAAATGCAATAATTGAAAATTTTTAAATGCATTTCACAATTCAATTTCGCTTAATCCAAAAATGAATGAACCAATTTAATGCTCATTTCTGTGTTCATTCTAATCATTTAAATTTAGCATATAATATTAACATTTTGTTGGACAATGTGTGAAAAAATAAAACAAAACAAATGTGTGTGGGTGTGGCTGTTATAGGTGTTTGTAAGTGAGGTAGGGTTGAGGGAGGGGGTGGCTAATGCATTTGAAATGCATGGAATATTTTTAAGTAAAATGTATTGCAACAATTGCACGAGCTTAAATGCAATTAAAAGCGTAAAACCAAAAACAAAACAACAGAACTGCATTCAACGAAAAAACAACAACAATTGGTAAGAGGAACAATGGCCAACAACAAAGAGCAACAGAACACAAATGAGCAAAAATAATTTTATGGTCAATGCAACGGCGTTAAGTTGCCTGCGGTTGCAACGAGTGTGTGTGTGTGTTTTGGAAGGGGGAGCGGTAAGGCTTGCTACTGCGGCAACAGCAACTAATTTAAATTGAAATGAAAATTGATTGTTTTTTAAACGCGTCGCATTGCAAACGAGGCACGTAGCCAAACACGTTGTCCATTCCATATGGAGTGGTGGGTTGGAGCGGGGGATTGTGTTCGTGGCATGCATTCGTGGCCACGTCATTTGCAACAATGGACGCAACAACAATACACAATGCCCAACAATGCGAGGAGGCTCGAGCCAATGTGCAGCAAGAAAAACAGCAAAACAGCAAATTTGTCGTTGCAACAAAATATGCCAAGAAGCGTGGAGCTGCCAGAGAGAGAAAGAGACCACAGAGAAAGAGAGAAGTGCAGCTCCAGCTGCAGCTGTTGATTGCGATTCAACAGCATTCGAAATGCACCCAGCAAAATAGTATTGTAACTTTGAATTTGTGCGCTGATGCATTGTGTCCAATTCTCACGATGCTTGGTAAACTCAAAATAAACTTCAAAGTTTTTCATTTTAAGAAGTAACTATAACAATTTATAACAAATTACTAAAAATTAAAAAGGGCAAAAGTCAAAAAACTACATTGCGAAAGAAGTCATCAAATTTGCTCTTGGAATTGTTATGCTACAATTCGTTTGCTGTTTACAGGATATCCACAAGTCGTTCCTCGATGCACAGCGATTGTCGTCGGCAGTCTCTCATTTATTTGTACAAAATTGTTGCTAATTTTGCATGTAACCAAATTGAATTTACAACTGCAACAACAACAGCAGCAGCAGCAGCAGCGGCCGTCGCACGTGCCATCCACACATACATACATAAACATACATACATGCACGCATACACACACATTCATAAATACATCCATATGCCATTCAGTAAAATGACACCCAAATAACGGCTAATTTGCGTACATGTTGTTTGCTATAGGGGAAATTCATAAAAGTGCACTCACCGAGAGCAGCAACAACAAATTTCCCTTATTCAGTAGCAGGAAACTTCCTTTATCGATAAAACAATATTTTATTATTTATTTTGAAAACTGATCAACACAAAAACAAACCAAGCATATTAGAACACGAACAATTAAATATTGTTAAATAATCAAGCTGGGATTTTATGGGTATTTAAATTGATTGGTATTTGAGAGTGCACCTCACCCTTGCCTTGCACTCAGCTCCGTTTTGCATTGCTTATTGCTTATTATTATATATATTTTGTTGAGAGTAATTTTTTCATGATCCTTATTGTTTGCGCTAGCCTAGAAATGCCCACGAAAAGTCCTTTAACTGGATGCTTTTCAAATCCCCACAGGGAATTTGTCAAAATCGACTTTTGAGACACACTTTTAAATACTCTTTTTGCGCGATTTTAAGTGCTTAATTTTTGCCCATTTTGCGATAGTTTTTTTTTAATAATTAAAACTGCGCTAAAGCAATTAATTTTAAATTTGACTGCTCTGGGTCGTGAGAGTGGGCGTATGTGTGTGGGCGTGGTTTGTCGCAGCGGTTAGAAAATATTAAACATCGGGCGACGTCTGGCAAATGTCACTTGAAAAATTGAAAGGTTGTGCAGTCAACACCCAAAACCCCCAGCCCCCTCCCTCGGGGACAGCTAAAGAGCGGGCATAGCAGGGTCTGAAAGGATGGAAGGACGAGAGGTGGGGGGTAAGGTATACTGGTCTTGTGCGCAATGTTGGCAAAGGCGAAACTTAATTAATTTGAGTAACTTGGCAGCCGGCCGGTTAGATGGCCACCCCCTACCGCCCTCCCCCACCAATAACCCTCCTCGGCGTCTTTGTTGCTGCACGGGTGTGGCATGAATTCTTAATGCACATGCTGAGTGTGTCTCTGTGGGTGTGGGGGGGCGTGGTCTTTGCGTTGCTGAAAGAAAGAAATAACTGGAACTGACTATGTCAACATAATTAACTTTGAAGTGAGTGAAACTACAGAGAGACAGGACCAACTATGAGTATCCTTTAGATTAAAAAAAAATAGCTGCTACATAAGTGCCTACAATAGCATGTGCCAAAAAATAATTCCTAAAAAAAAATATACAAAACAGGTGAAAGCCGACTACGGAATACTCTGCAAACTGTGATATATCAACTGGGAATGGGTGTTATACAAACTTCAGTCCGGAATGGTATAACAATCCCCAGAAAATTTTTCTAGTAATTTAACTTCAAAAATTCATTAGAGTTATGAATTTTTGTGAATTTTGGTGGGCGTTACCCGGAAATTTTTCGGATGCTTAACTGTGCATCAGCAGTAATCCATTTTCCAAACTTGCATACTCCAACTGCAAAATGCAAATGTTTCAATGTTTTCCCATTTTGAGAAAAATTCAATTTACCCTTCTTTGCTAACAGAGTATACAAAATGGGCGAGAGTTGATAAAAAAAATTTGCGACACCCTTCACAACTCCAATCCCTCTCTCTAAAAAAAATGCAAAGTACTGCGAGTGTTGCCAAATAATTAATTTAAATGCATTTCGGTATTCAAACCGCCCGGCGCCTTTTACACAGTATGTGTTAACTAGATACGGAAGAGAGAGAAAGATACAGAGAGAGAGAGAGAGAGAGAGATGAGTAAAATAAGATATGATAAGATATAAGATATAATGTATTTTGTCCAATTTTAGATGATGCTGGGTATTAATATTAAATTCAAGACTACTGTATAATAATATATATACACTGCATAAATCATATAATTTTTCCACTTCGTTGTTTCTTCGTGCTCACGCACGCAAAGACAGGGGTACAAAAAAGGAAAAACACGACTTGTGCTCATCTCTAATGTGCAGACTCCCAAAATGCACTCAACGAACTGTGACGAAGGACTTAATTCGCGGAGTTTGGCCTGAAACAGAATTCGTAATATCCATAATGCTATTAAAGCCAAGTATGCACGCTCTGGTGGAGAAGGAGGGCTCGACTAGGAGATACCCTGCAGCCGTATTAAATAAATTGAATCGTTTAAAGAATTGCATTGTATTTTTGTTTTTCAAATTAATTATTATACATTTTTCCAGTTCGTGAGACCTCGACTAGGAGTTAGCCCAAACCCAGCTGTTAACTATACTGAATCTATTAAAGTGCAGTTATTTCGTCAAGTTCAACTGCACCCTTAAATGTAAACATGTCTTAATCGATGACAAAATAAACTAGGACAGCAAATGTTTTTTATTTAAATCGGTGTCTATCTCTCTCGACTAAATCAAATTTTTGATTGATTATAAATACCTGACACTTGAAGTTGATAGAGTTTATAGATAAAATTTATTGAATAAAATTTACCTGCTCGAAAGTTTCGCTTGTAAAGAAAAACTTAAACTCACACACACATTGTGAACACTTTAAGTTCAATTTGGAGAGACGGACTTTGGACGTGGATAACCAACCACATGTGCCTCGATGTGTTCCACTCCACAGCTTGAAGATAATGCTCAGCAAAATAAATGGACAAGCTGACAAGCTTTCACTGGGTTGGTTAAACGGCAGAGAGAGAGAGGGAGAGAGAGAGAGAGAGGGAGCGAGAAAAGAGTAGAGGAGATGACGATGACTTTTAAATTGTTTTTATTGAGGTGCCAGTTTTGGTCAGAAAGTTTAGCAAGTGCACAGAATAAATGAGCATGGAAGTCCATTTTGGAGCATTAGAAAAGCGATGGATGCTTCTGCATCCTGCATCCAACATCCTGCCAGCATCCTTATACCACATGTCAGCATGTGTGTGTGTGTGTGTGTGGAGCGTACAAAGTCAAATTGCTTACAGATTTCCACGAGCCAGAGCAGAGGGAGAGGGACCAATAGAGAGAGAGAGAGAGAGAGAGAGACAGAGAGAGGGTGAGAGTTCCTGGGTGTCCTTGGTGGCACGCATTTTGTGCTTGTCACGTTAAACTTTTTGGTTGGTGCCTAAGTAGCTAACGCCTCAATATGCCCGTTGACATGTCCGGCAGAGGCACCCCTCCACTTACGTCCCCCTCACTCCTCATCCACACTAGCCGAAAAATACTAATAAAATGTCGCCTGGTATCGGAATGGGAGAAGCTTTAAGCTGCTGTCTATGGGTTTAGTTTAGCAACTGTGCCTGCCACCTCTTCCTTCTCCCCCTTCCCCTCTTGCTTCCACATGCAGTGTCATCCTTATGCTGCCATACACTGAAAAAAAAACACTCACTTCAACAAGTCGAAAAAGCTCGTCGGAAATATAACTTGAGCCTAGCTGTTGCATATATTGCATGAATTTCAACAGACAAATGGCTAGCTGATCAAAGGTATATATATATATATAGAGTCTATACCCTGTTATACTATTGTTATATTAAATATAAATAAAGTCTACTTAAATATTCAAGTAGTCCA